GCTCCTTCTGTACATCGGAGACTTGAAAGGTCAGGTTTCGTAAACCATCCCTTGCACTTCGAATCTCAGCATACACATTCCGATACTGTGTCCAAATTGCAAACACATCAAAATGCGCAAGCTTGTTGCTAGCGTTGGAGTTGTGTAGGCTCTTTGTTGCAGCCTTGGTAGCCGCTAGGAAACTGTTCCTGTCTGCGTTCAAGCAAACTACACAGCAGGCAGCCTGTTGCAGGTCTGGTCCAAATGTCAAAGCACGCTCTAGCTGCCATAGCTTCGCTTGCAAGCTGGCAGGAGTCTCGGCAACTTCAGCCAAAATGATCGGGAGATCAGCAGTTGTTTGGATCTGATCCCATGGCTTTGTCCCTGCTAATTGCACAACGTCTTGCGCACAGTCTTTAAACAAATCGACAAGCGTCAGGTCTGTGCCCCTGAGGTAAAGGTCACATTCTACTACCATCGGGTCTGGAGGTGGGCCTTTCTTCGGCTTGAACTTCCAACGGAACGGTGACGGACGTTCCCAACTGGACGGAAATTTCTTCTGTAGGGCAGCCTGTTTCGTCACGTTTTCACCAGAAATTGTATAGGTGGTGAGACGTTCTATGCCTTGATCGGCTTGGGTGGCAAGACGTGCGACCACCTGCTGTTCGATTTCTTTCGCGGCGTATGTATGTTGGATGTCATCAACAGCCATCCAATCCTGGCAAGTGCCAGAGGGACACCTACACCAGAATCACTGATGTCATGACTCATAACTCTGAACCTTTAGCGTGTGACGTAAGCACGACACCCCCTCCGCAGTGAAGGCCTTCAAGACTCGAGCCCTTTTCAAAACCTCTTTTCGAAGCCACGTGCGACAAGCTTCTGATTCAGAACAACCGTATCACGAACACGACACGGGTCACAGAAGAGCAAAAACCTTCTTTTGGGCACAGTTGAAGCTGCTTTCTGTCCCAGATCTTGAGACTGCCGGGCGACTGATGTTCCACGGGTCGCCTGCAGCTTCGTCTCTCCTGCAGCAGGAAACCAAGAATGCAAGCAGTTGCCTTTTTGGCAAAGCCCGGAGGCTGCCGCCTTCCCAGTGACAGGGGCCAAGGCACCGACGGTTCATAGCTGGATGCACCACCTGACAGCGCAACAAAGTCGGACAAGGAAGCGCCACTTTGTCCAGAAAGAGTTGTTGCCCAGCTAGCTGTCTGCTCCAGCCTGGCTACAGAACACGCAGCTTGGGGCTACGAAGACCTGAGCCAAAGCCAACTTGGCCCTGCAAGAAAAGTTACGATGACTACCTACCTGTCGAGTCCTGGTGGAGAGAATGTCCGCGACGCCGCTTTGCGGCCATGCCTCCGACGCATGAGTCAGTGACACTGCGCTTTGACTTGTGGAAACAAATTTGCAAGACACCCTGAAAGCGAAGAGCATCAAGCATAGGACAGCCATCTTGCCAGCTGACCTCCAGACCGAGAGCTTGTGCAAAAACAGCATGGGCACGCAATTCCATGCTTTGCGAACTGCAAACACCAAGCAATTGACAGGGAGACCACGATACCTGAAAGGCGTTTTCATAAGCCAGTGAAGCGCTCTCCTGACTGCCGCGTCCGATCTTGCATCCCACGGCATGGCCATATTACGTTTACAATCTTCCGTTCGCGCACGATTTCTACACAAAGCCAGAATGACGAAACACGTGTCACATGCAAACATATACTATGACGCCTAATTGCCTTTCAAATCTCAGGTCGGCTAACACTTTTTGAGGGAACTTTCTTGCCCGTCTGACCTGAGTTCAGCTGCAACAAGCGCTCAAACAAGTCAACATTTCTTCAGGAAGCCATCATGAAAAGCAATCATGAAAGGCAAGAGATGATCAACAAATTCAACGTTGTTTGAAAACAAGGCAGCGCAGCTACCTGTAAAGTTCTGCAAAGAAGAAAAATCTGCAAGCAGAAACGTTCTTCTCAAGAGGATAAAGTCACGACTGCTGGTTCCAGACTCCAACGGGTGTCTACGTCGCCGTAAACTCTTGCAGCACCCCCTGAAGCTTTGTTGCAGAGAAAACAAAATAAAACAAGTAGACAACAAGTGGATGAACTGAAGACAGCTGTTCGCAACACTACCTAAAGGGCGCAACGCCCTCAGTTCACTCCAGTCCCACGCGCTAGGTCATGTGCACACCGCTTTCATTCAACAGCTCACCCAAAAACTTCTGGAGGTACAGGGTAGCAGCATTGGGTGCGGCACCTCGCTGATGCGACGTCCACCGCACTA